AGACAAAGCGGGTATGCAATCACAAACTCTCAACTACGAAATATCCTTCTCAAGTGTTTTCTCCTTCCTCTCTCTCATTCAAAGACTGACTAGACCGTCGGAGGGGATACGCCGGAAAACACTCCGGCGCCCTTCTAACTCGTTCTCTTTTGTCCCAGGAAATACCTTTCGCACGTACAGGATCGTTCCTTCTTTCCCAGGATCGTAAGCTGTTTCGAGCAGTGTGTTTGGCCACTCAATCGGCTCGCCCAAAGTTCACCAGGGGAGAGATCTGTTCCCAATATTGTATATATATCGTGCAGGATCAAGCCCGCACACTTGGCATTGGACCTTTTCTTTTATTAAATGCAAGGTGGAGATTCTTCTGCTGGGTTCGGTCCCTTGTGCCAAAAGAGCAACTATGGAAATCTCTTTTAAAGCTTACCAACAGATCGGCGCAAACCCAGCACTGTGGTGGTGCTCGGCCTCTTTCTTGGTCTGTTCAAGGGGATCTCGGTTCATCATGTTGCCTTCGAAGTGTGTTCTGAAGGGCTGACTTTTGAGTGGTGAGCTCGGCTGGTTAGTCTCCGTATCATCAAGCTTATCTCTGTGTTTCCAGCAAGTTTGAGCGGATTACACAATGGTGATCAATCTCACACCAGAAATTCAAAGGAGTTCGGTACCATTATGAAAGATCGGCCTCTCGACGTCCTTCGGAATGAGCAGTCTATGACTCATTCTCCCTCAAGGAGCTATTCTTTTGAGCGTTCAATCAAGCGTCATGGCATGTTTATTGCTGCACAGCGCGCTCAACACAGCTGCAGGCTCATGGAGGGACGTCGGTCAATCGAAATATGTTCGGCATCACGAAAATGGTCGGAGGCCAAAAGTGGTCGAGGCCCCTGTAACAGTGATCGGCATCACTGCCAATTAGACGCGTAAGCCTTGTGGGTGGTCGGCGTACCCGTCTGATGCTCGTTAGAAATCAACAGGCAATTCGGATACTCTACATGCAGCTCGGCGTATACAGTCTGACCATGTTCGGCATAAGTCCGAGTGTGTTTTGAATAGGTGCTATCGTGAATGAAGCTTCAAGTGTTCGGCCTTTCATCACTGTCAAGCTATGGTGGTCGGGCTTTTTCGAATAATGAGGGGAATACGCCGAACGAAGAGCGTACCATGTCGAGTGAGCATTCTCTGGATGATCATGAACTGAACACGACATATGACACGAGTGAGTATAATTCTTAGAGCCAAGCATAGGCAGATCTAGTAAATTACGCCACGATTGTCGTGGTCCATGAAATCCCAATCGGGGTCTCGGCTTCACTTCAAATCTTGGGAGTGCTCGAGTATCTTCTCTAAATGCAGTCGTGGTACATACCCTCCTCTTCTTTATTAAAACCTCTCTCTCTCATCCATAGAAACCAAAACACAACCCCCTTTCTCTCTCCTCTACCTGTAAATATATGGCCAGCAAGCTTTAAGTGGATGAACTCCGAACACAACTCGCCCAATGTGGACTCAGCACCACCAGGACCAAACCCACACTGGTTCAAAGACTCGAATCAGCTATTGTAGATGGAAAGCAATCAATTAATTCAATTGATGGTTTGAGTAATAAGAAAAGGCAAAGGGATTCTGAGAATGGGGATTCTAATGGGTCAGAGAAGATTAAGGCCATTGACAAGTTTCGACACATGGGTATCAAAGAATTACGGGAATAAGCCGAGATTAGAGGAACTTCAACAGCTGGGTTCGAGAAAGAACTTCCTGAGAGACTCTGTACTGATTCACAGAAGAACAATGGCATATCCCCGAAACTGACGTATCAAAAATTCTTGAGGTTTCCTGAAACAGTTTGTCCAATCGCTCATTGCACGTCCGCATATGGAATTCGGCAAATACGAAGATAAGTGACACATTTCGTTGCACGATTACTGTCTATTATTTATTAGTAAAAATGTGCCTGTGAATAAGAAATTCACGTCATACACAACTTTACGTGTCAATGGCTTATACTTTAGTTGAACCCCTCAGCACTATCACAAAGCATGGTGTCATTCACTCGAAGCTATTTGTTATTTTCTTTGCTGTTGGCTTTAGAAATAAGCCAGCTGGACTTTCCCTTTGTCTCAGCTGCTATTAGCATGAGCGAAATGTGAATTGGTAAAAAATGACCGATCTTTATTTTCAAGGTCAAGCGTATAGCTCTGCCTTTCTTTATGCTTCTTGACTGTGCATGGCCTAGCTGAACGAAAATCTATTTAAGCGAATAAATTGTCATATTTGAAGTCCTTGGCCCCTTTACTTGGTGGGGACCACATGGTCACTTGTTAAGACAATACTCACCATATGCAAAGGCCGAATGGCCGCCACCTCTTGCTACAACCGCCACACCTGTGCACACAACTTATGCATGCAGATCGTATTGCTTTGATGGCCATAAGTCATGACACTCGTAGGTGGGCCTCATAGGAAAGCAATTCTTTGTGAATCTGCGAAAGTACAGGTGACCAATATCACATGTGGCTGATAAGAAACAAAGTTATCCTATTACGAGCATGCATCTATTGTTGCTTTTTCAGTATTGCAGGATTTATTATTTAAAGGACTGAGCAAAGGGCAAGATCCGACCGAGCAAATAGCTAGGCTATTCTGGCCGACCAAAACTTAGTCCGGCCGAGCAGAGGATAGCGTACAAGAGCGAGGAGACCGTGCATCTGGAATATTCATCATGGTTTTCCGTATTTTTGCATTGCGTGATGGACGCCATCTCATGAAGCAAGAAGAATTATTCATCTTCCAGAAGCATAATCTACTGGTTGTGGTATTTCTCTTCCATGGAATTTGTTTTTAGAACAAAATCTGCTGCCCTTTATTTGGGCTCCATGTGACCAACACAAAGAGAGAAGTTTGGGACTTTCTGGTATGTCTTGGATGCCAAAGAATACTTAAAAGTCTTTGAGATGATCCAATTTTTATGATGGAGTTGACCAATGAGAAGAGATCCAAGAAGTCATACAAATCGATATGACAGAAATCCAAGAGGAACAATTACTTGATACCGAAAGAAATTCAAGAAGGTCAATTTCTTGATATTCGACTCTAAGTGTCAACCAATAAGAATTAAATTTTATGAATTCGAGACAAATTAGAGTGTACCACTCAATTCCTAATATGAAGGATCTACATGAGTAGAAATTAACTCTCTATGGACATTGGTGAGACTCAAGAATTTAACTACACATGATCTTGTTGGAAGTAAGCAGAATCCATTGTCGATGTAGTGTGCCACTATGCCCGATGAACATTGGCTTTAAGACCAAGTTTCTCCTAAGTGAAATATTACTCAAGTTACAAATCCATGGAGATATATTGTTATGATGGTTCAACATTTCCAAATAAACTCTCTTGTGGCTTCAAGAGTCCAAAGGGTCTTCTCTTAGTCCATTGGATTATAAACTATGAAGAATCCTTAGAAAACTTTGGTTTGATTATCTATTTGAGCTTACATCACACATGGATCATGGGTCAGAATCTCATAACAAATTTATTAAAGCCATCTGCATATCGCGATGACGAAGGAGGATTAATCAATTAGGAAAAGACACCCAAGGGATACAATATTTGGCAAGGACTTTTCTTGTATTGTACAATAACCAAGAGCATAGCTTGTCCGTATATGTTAGAGTTTCAGAGACTACCTCGAATAAAGCAAAACAAGTGAAAACTTATTGATGTTTTGACAACCTAAGTTGTTTCCACAAGAGATCAGCAACAAGGGGTGCTTGCAACAAGACTTTTAGTAACCAAAAAGTATGTACTGTTGCCAAACTAGTCATGCGAAAGAACCATTTAGGCATTTGGATGAATACCAGCAGCCCGCCTCTCGTGCTAGTGCCCATGACTTCCATTAGTGCTGTAAATCATTTCAAAGCATCCAAAAACTTTTACCCCGACACCAACAACTGGAGATAGGTCGAGAGGACATCTAGACCAGAGGAAGAGGTCAAAAGATCAAAGATAAATACGCGACACGAAGCCCGAGCAATCATGATTCCATCGTTGATATTGAATAAATTTTTGTGAGGCTCCATGTTACACATGCACTTATAGCTACTTGAATTATTATCTACCACAAAAACAAGTTGACATGGGGGCCGAGATCCTCAAGTATGGAAAAATTAAGGGTTGGGTCGTACCGTGCTTAACCCCTCTATTTGGACCAAAAAACCGATACAAGCCAAAATAAGAATCAACATTCTTTTATAAATGATACACTTGAGCTCTTGAAGTGGTGTAACTGATGCCATATCACTTCAATGGAGTACCTTATGCGAATTGATAAGATTGAGCTTTAGAGCTAATTTTTGTGGAGTACCTACCACATGAAAGATGTCTAATGGCGGAGTACCTCCCGCGAGTAGATAAGATTGAGTCATAAAACTAATTTTTGTGGAGTACCTGCCACATCGAAGACCCAAGAAGGCTCGGGCATAGGCCAACCTACTGCTAAGATGGTAAGGAAAAAATCCTGATAGAGGCAGGGACCTAGCTCAAGTGCAGCCATCCGATCAAACTTAGGCTCATGGCTATGCACGACGGTGTAAGCCAAATGGGTAAAGTTTGAAGACCGATTAGATCGGCGGATCGGTGCAAGGGTCACAATAAGTGACCAAGAATTGATCGAGCTTGGGAAGTTGCTCCGTCCAGGAGAACCGATCCCCTTCCCCGTATTTTTTGGCCTTTTTATGAGGAGCAATATAAGGCAATTAATGAGAGAGGATTGTAAACAGAGAATATCTTCTAGNAATAAGTGACCAAGAATTGATGCTCGAACCCTTCAACGAGGCAGGTCCTCTTGGCTAGGGGAAGGGGCATAAAAAAGGCCTTTTTATGAGGAGCAATATAAGGCAATTAATGAGAGAGGATTGTAAACAGAGAATATCTTCTAGTGTGCCACATGAAAAATATTCTCTAGGGGCAAATGAAGGGGTCAATAAATTCTGACCATCATATGACAATTAAACTTGGAGGCGTGACAGGTTGCATGTGCTGAAAAGAGTTATTTGCAATAACTCTACTATAACCGAGCAGATAGCTAGGCTTTCCGGGCCGAGCAGAGCAAGTGGCTAGGCTATCCGAGCTGAGCTGAGCAAGTAGCTAGGCTATTCGACCGAGCAAAAAATTGGTCGGACTTAGTAGAGAATAAAACTCAACCAAACAGATAGCTAAGTTGTCCCGGCCGAGCAGAGGATGAGATCTGACTAAGTTGTCATCAAATAGCAATCGAGCTAATCAGAAATCTTGGGAAGGAATGAGCTCAGTCCTCGTCACAACCGAGTTGTTTAAAATAGTAACGTGGTACTAAAAAAATGCCTACAATTTAGGCATTATGGTTAAATGAATGAGTATGATCATAGGCTCAGTATATGGAATTACTTGAGAAATATCAACAACACCTCAAACTGAATCGCTAAATTGAAGGAAGGTGTGCTACCTTGAATCAAAATTCAGGGAAACCCTAAGAGGATAATGATCTATAAAAGGCGAAAGTAACCAGGGTGAAATGTACGCTGAACTCTCCTGGTCTTCGTGCAATTCTTCTTGTTCCATTACTGACTTAAGCATTGGAGTGTCTTCGATCGAAGCACTTCAATCTTGGACAGTTTGTTCATTTTGCAAGGAAAAGATTAGGAGACAGTTCAGGATTCTTTTCCAGAAATCACATCACAAATTCACTGTTAGAGGTATTACCAATTGTTTGCTTCTACAACGTCCATAGGCTAATACATCTTCGAAGACGCAAATGTGTGCATCAATAAGGAAATCCAGATCAACGGTCACGAAAACACCATCATCGTACATCTCAGCCACTCCTTTCAAATATGGGTTTGTCATTGACATATTGGGACCCACCACCATTCTTGCATTGATACACATTATATTCACCCCTTTGTCCATTGCGAAGGCTAGGGGTGTAACTTGAGTTGGACAACTCAATTTCAACTCTAAAAAATTAAGACTTAGATAAGAGTTTTTAATACTTGGATTAGACTTAGATCAAAAAACTCTAATCCAAATTCAATTTGGGTTAGGTTCAGACTAAGGCCTCGGATTCACGGGTTCACCCCGAACCCGACAAATTAAAAAAATAAATAAATAAAAAATATATATATATATAAAGCATTAGCAGTGCTTTTTCATTTTTGGTGTGAAAGCAGATGATCAATAATCGTGCACTGTTATGAATGAAGTATATGAATTATGTTTTATGAATTTGTAATTATGTTAAAATTTTGGTTGAAATTATTAGTTTTTAATTTATGTGAATATTATGTAATATATGTATTAGGTTTAGAACAATAAGCCTATTTTGGGTTCTATCCGAACTCAACTCAAATTAAACCCATAAAATAACCCGAAATCATTAACCCGAGCCCGCCCGAATTAAAATCGGACAGTGGTTGGTTTAAGTTCCTCAACCCGAGATAAGGTTAGAATTTAAGATTATATATTTAAAGTTAAATTAAAGTTGAGTGTCCAACCCGCTCGAATTGCACCCCTAACCGAGGCCCAAGTAACTTTCTCCGCCAGCGTCTTGGACAGGGCATGCCACAGCTGTCCGTACAAAATAACAAGGATAAAAGTGTAAATTTATAAATTTTGAAAAATAAAATATTATTTTGTTTGTGTTTAATCACTTAAAAGGGTTTGTCAATCAAACGTGGTCCATTGTAGAGAGTCTTAACTTATATATGTGGAGAAACTATTGTCACAATTTAAGAATTCAATAATTTAGAAAACTCACGACCCTACATATATTTGGGTAAAAATATAAAAAATGAAATAAAACAAATCTGAACCAAGCCTAGTTCTTACTTCATCCTTGCACTTAATCCTCTCTAATTTGTACCTATACTGTAAATTTAATAGAACTCGTTTAATATTGTGATGACGCAATAATTTTACACACTAATTAAGCACGTGTTATAAAATAAATAATTTTTTTTTAATTAAAGAATTAAATTATCAATTTTACCCTTCATCTTCCTCTCTGTCACTTCTATTTACCTTTTTCTCTTGACTTACAAATTCATTATTGACCCATCAAATTACTTATTTTCTCAAATTTGATGTCATTCTTGAAATTCTTGACTCCAAATTAGTCAAACTCAATCGCTTAACCACTTGTTTTGAACTTTTAATAAGTTTTTAATAAATTTTAATTTTCAAGTTTCTAAATGTTAGTAAGTTTCTTCGCTACACACACACCCCTCTTTTATAACTTCCAAGCACTCCATATATATTGTACTACAACCCCATAAAACAACTCAAGACTCAATTGAGAAAGAAATGGTTATTTACTATATAACCCATTTAAAAATTCATAACCACTTTAAGCTTCAAACACAAATTCAAGCACACACAAAATATGAAACTTAAATCTAATTACACTAATGAAATTTTCATAAAAAATAAGTCTGATCAAGTTGAGTTTATGTATTGTAAGTCTGTCAGTTAAAAACCCAAAATTCTTTCTCTTCCCTTTCTTCAACTTATTNCAGATTTTATTTTTTAAAGATAAGAGTTCTACAATGCTGATATCACCCAAAAAAAAATTGAATTACAGTCACGAGTAATTTATTCTTTTTGTATAAACTGTTATCTGGATTATCGTTTACAATTTGTTCACAAGTTAGAGAGGGTTAAACAAAATTCATAAAAGTATAGGGAAAAAAATGAGATTGAAACTTATGCTCCGTTTAGTAGGAATGATGAAAAGTAACAAGGATGAAAAATATGAAGAATAAAAAGTAGGAATGATACATTTTATATCCTTTAAAGAAGGAAAGTAGGAAGAATAGAAAGTAGGAATGACACATTTTATATCCTTCAAGGAAGAAAAATAGCAATGATACATTTTTCTTCTTTTGTGTTTAATTAGATGAATGAAAAATAAAAATGACTATTTTTTTTTGTACTGGCTAAAATTAGGGGTGACAATCGAATCGTGATATATCATATTCGTGTTGATTCATTACGGATATGTGTCGAATATTAATCACATCTAACTCAACTCATTTAATTAATTATATCGTGTCGAATTACGAGTTGACCTGTTTATTTTCGTGTTGTGTTCGTGTTCGAGTTAATCAAGTTTGTGTCAAGTTCGAATCCTGCCATCGTGTTGAATCATAAATTTTTACTCCTAGTTATGATGGAATAATTATTTTTTTAATTTAAAAAATTTTAATTTTTAAATTTTTTTAATATATATATATACATAATTTGTTATTATATTTTTATATGAAATTATATTATATTTTTATATGAAATTAATGTATACATAATATATGTATATATAAAAAGATATATAGACAAATAAGATACATCTTAACACAAATAATTAACTTTTCATCTTTTTTTNTAATTTTTAAAATTTTAATATATATATATATACATAATTTGTTATTATATTTTTATATGAAATTAATGTATACATAATATATGTATATATAAAAAGATATATAGACAAATAAGATACATCTCAACACAAATAATTAATTTTTAATCTTTTTTTTCATCCTTCTTATTTTTCTTCCTTACCAAACATGATGTTCTATTTATCCCTCTAACTTTTCATATTTTCAACTTTTCATCGTACCAAACGAAACATTAGTTCCTAAGAGTTATTTGTTTTTTTTACCCATGTTATTTTCTCAGATACGGCTGACATCATTATACATGTTAGGTAGGTTAGGGGAAGGGNTAATCTTTTTTTTCATCCTTCTTATTTTTCTTCCTTACCAAATATGATGTTCTATTTATCCCTCTAACTTTTCATATTTTCAACTTTTCATCGTACCAAACGAAACATTAGTTCCCAAGAGTTATTTGTTTTTTTTACCCATGTTATTTTCTCAGATACGGCTGACATCATTATACATGTTAGGTAGGTTAGGGGAAGGGGGTGGAGTGAACATGGTGGGATTGGATCTGGTTTAAACAAGAACAATAAGATCATGAAGAATTAAATATTATGGGGTATAACAATGAAATTATATATATTTCGACCAGACAACAAAACACCGTAAAATGAGTGGAGAAAAATTACAAAACTTAAATCTTAAACGATTAGTGAGGTGTGAAGATAAAATTACCTTAATCTTACGGCAGATATTAATGTCACTCCAATGTTTTTCATCTAAATCTGCAGGAGATGATGACGAATTTCGATCGTCTCTCCAAATAACAGTCGTTGCTGAGGATGTAAATACAACCTTGTCTATGGTGTCCGTTTGAGCACATGCTTCCAATTCATTGTGTGCTGCTCTAACCTCAACTTCTGCCATTAACTCCTGCTCCAAACAAAGTCATTATTATCTGTGAGTGATTTCTTTTCGTCTTTTTTTTTTTGGTCAGGCAATATTAAAGGGAGGAGGACCATAAAGTTCGAATTAGCAATACTAATGTTCCGTTTGATATAATAAAAAAATAGAATGATAGAAAATTAGAAGGATAGAAAGTTGAAAGGATAAATAAAATATCATGATTGGTAAAAAAAAAAAATAAGAAGGATGAAAAAGTGCATATATTAACTTTCATTCCAACTCATCAAAATTAATCCCTCCAAAATCAGAAGAAAAGTGGATGAAAAATTAATTACTTGTGTTGAGATGTATCTTATTTGTCTATATATCTTTTGATATATACATATATTATGTATTCATTAATTTCATATAAAAATACAATGATAAAATATGTATTTATATATATTTTTAAAAAAAAATTTAAAAATAAAAAAAATAAAATTTTGGATTTATTTTTTAATTAAAATTATATCAACACAAATACAAACATAAATATAACACAAAAATAAACAGGTCAACTCGCAACTTGACACGACACAATTAGTTAAATGAGTTGAGTTATGTTTGACTAATATTTGACACAAACCTGTAATGACTCAACACGAATCTAACACGACATGACTCGATTGTCACTCCTAATCTTAGCCAACATAAAAAAAAAATTAGTTATTTTTATTTTTCATTCATCCAATCAAACACAAAGAAAGAAAATTGTTTCATTCCTATTTCCTTCCTTGAAGAATAGAAAATGTATCTCTCCTACTTTTCATTCTCCTTATTTTTCATCCTCCCTACTCTACATCCGTCCTACCAAACGGAGCATAATGTTTCGTTTGGTACGATGAAAAAATGGAAGGATGAAAAGTTTGAGAGATAAATAAAATATCATGTTTGGTAAGAAAAGAAAATAAGAATAATGAAAAAGTGGATGGATTAACTTTCCTTCTAACTCACAATAATCAATCCCTCCAAAATCGGAAAAAAAGTAGATGAAAAGTTAATTATTTGCGTTAAGATGTATCTTATTTGTCTATATATTATGTATACATTAATTTCATATAAAAATATAATGATAATATATAAATAAATATATATATATTTAAATAAAATATAATAAAAAAATAAAAATAAAAAATTTAAATTAAAAAAAATATTTTTTTTTTTATCTTAACTAGGGTAAAAATTTTCGACTCAACACGATAATATGACTCGAACTCGATACAAATTTTATGACATGAACTTGATTATAACTCGACACGAACTTGAAATAACCTAACACATGAACAAGAAATGTAAAATGCCTACAATTTTCTAACTCAACACGAATCTGACACGATGCGACTTGATTGTCACCCCTAATATTAGACAAAAAAAATTAATCATTTTTATTTTCATCCATCCAACTAAACACAAAGGAATAAAAGTATATTATTCTTTCTTTTTATCTTTCTTACCAAACAGAACATAAAATTTATCGATGATAACCATTAGGCCGGTGACTAACCTCCTATATTGGTACTTTTATGTTAGGACCTTTCAAGATTATCTTTTTTTAATTGGAGTAAATTACATTTTACCCCATTAACTATTACCCTTGTTTCATTTTTCACTCTCAATTATAAAATTTCTTACATTGTATCTTAAAATATCAATTTAATTTTATATAACTTCAACAGATAGTGACAAAATTAAAAATCTGTCAAATGAGGGTGGAAAACCTCAAATAACTTCCTACTAAGAAAATAAAAATCGATTAGAGGAAAAAAAATTTGAAGCTTAGGAAGAGCGATGTGAAATAAAATTGATATTTTAAAGTGCAATGTGATAAATTTTATAATTGAGAGTGTAAAATGAAACAAGAGTAATAGTTCAAAAAGGATAAAGTGTAATTTACCTTTTTTATTGATTGAATTTTTTTTATTCAAGCAATAATGTTGAGACCTAATTTAGACACTAATGTGAGTATCGAATTTCATAGTCTTCATTAGATTTAGAGCGGATCCCCAATAATAAATTTTAGAACCAATAAAAGGGTCAATTATTTATTTTCAGCTTTGATGACTTGATCAATAACTTGCTCAAAATACATATTGACGTCTATTAATTAAATTCTTTATCATCACTTATTCTGACAACTTGAAAAGAAAGAATAGGAAGGTCAAGAGGTAGATCAGTAATAAAGACGAATTATAAATGTAAATATTTTGAGTTTAAATTTTAATAATTTTTTTGAAGATAAATCATAAAGAATTTATCCCATCATAAATACTTTAATTTTAATATAGATGACTTGTACTTGACTCAAATAGTCTTAACGTTGAACCACTAAAAAGATTTGAGCGGGAGAGAGAGAATAAGTTGGAGTCGGCAAACGGCAAGTAATTGCGACCCCAAAAAGGGTTGGGACCTAAAAAAGTTGGAATGGACATGCAATTAAGTATAGGAATTAGAACCCTTTCATGGTTACGTGAACTCCATCTAACATTATATCGTGACAGGTGACCGTGCAAAACCCAACTTGTTTACTTGACTTGAACCAACAACTCTGACTACATTGGAGAAAGATTGTTGTTCAATACTAAAAGACTTATTGGTCCACGTTTCATTAGCTAAACTTATGGTACCATTAGTTTTTAATTTTTTGGTATTATATCAAAAAAATTAAAAAAAAATTTATATTTCATAATATTTGTAATCCCTAAAGTATGCTTATTTTGTCAATCTGATTCTCATTATATTAATTTTGTCAATTTAATTTTTAAATTTGTAATTTGTGTCACTTTAGTCACTAACCAAACATTATTGTTAAGTTTTTTTTGATGAAATTGATCATATGTCATTTTGATATCATGTGATTACCGCATGATTATTTCGTTAAAAATTTAATAGTCTGTTTGTGCAAGCATAATTTCTTAAGGAATGAAATTAAAAAATTAATATTTTAGAAATCAAATTAACAAATTGTACATATTTTTGAGGACCAAAAGTGTTATATCCCATAAAAAATAAAAAATGATAAGTTTGACCCATAAAAAAATAATAAATCTTATCCAAAAGATAGTATACATATCTAAAAAACAGTCCTAACCGATATAATTTTTTTTTTTTTGATACTCTACTAAACAAGTCAGCAATAATAAATGCTAACGTGAAAAAGTTCTTATTAACATCTGAAACTATGAAAGCGAAAGCAGAAGATTTTCCCGGGTGAAAATGTTGATCTGGATATATATATATATATATATATATATATATATATATATATATTTTTAAAATGGTCAACAGTGTATAGATTAATTTATGCATATTTCGATTAATTCTCATACTAATTCTGTTAAAGATAAGTGATTCACCGTGAGATTAAAATATTTATAAAAAATAAAACTCTGTAAGTGATAATTATCCTTGTGAGTGCATTTATGCTATTGATAAAATAGATATGTACCAACAAAAGAAACTGATAAAAGATGAAAGAATGGATGTACATCATAAATAAGTTGGTCCGGAGGAGGCTTGCAGGTGGGGAGTTAAAAGAGGTTGACACATGTGTCTGTAGTTGGCAAGTAATGTGAGTATTTATAGCACAGTGCTCGGGCAAGTCAAGCTGCCCAAAGGGCTGCCCGTCGCGACCCCCTACCACTCCCCCTACCACTCATGCTAACCCATAACTGCCTCAACCGCGACAATACTACTGGTCATTAACGGCGAGCCATGCGTCCCAACATTAACAAGGTAGATGTGATGTTTTCCCAAATTCAACCTGAACGTGGCCCCGAGGAAGGTGTGACAGCCAAGGTGAGAGAGAGCTCCCAAGGTCCATGACCGCGACTGGCCACCGCAGGACCATGGCCTCGAGAGGACCATGCCCGCGATGCCCCCAACGCGCTTCTACCCGGGGTCTTTCTTTCCCTCTCTAGATCCTTCTTGGAGACCTTTGTCGAGGTGTCCAATAGAGAAAACCCATATAGTTTTGGTCCTTTAGCCACCAATCCATATGTCTCATCATCTCATATGCTGATCCGGTCCAATAACCCTAGTTACCTTAAGAGTCTCTCCGGATCCCAGTCAAGCACATTCCAGTGGGCAGTGAGCCATACACTAGGAGGCCTACTTGAGCAGACTAAACCTTCAAGACCCTGCTCCCAGGCTAAGGTTGACAATCATGCTCATCCGCTCCTATTGCTCAATTCTCCCTTGAGGAGGGTCATACTCCCCTGTCCCTAGGTGGGGACATCTTTTAGTCTAGTGGGCCAGTCGAGCAACGGTTGAGGATACCATTCCCGCAGCGGGGGAGGCGAGTATTGCCGCGGTTGCCCCCATACTTCTATGACACCATTCCTGTAAAAGGGCGTCGCGCCAAGGGGTATTGCGCCCAAGGGCGTTGCACTTGAGGTTGCCCCATACTTCTACGATTCCACTTTTGTCCCACATCGGTGAAAGGTTCATTTTGCCATTTCCAATGTGATGGAGATGTATCTCGCCCAGATGCGATATTGTGGTTAAGGGCGTTGCGCCCAGGGGCGTAGTGCCCAAGGTTGCCCCATACTTCTATGATTTCACTTTTGTCCACCCTTGGTGAAGGGTCCACTTTTCCACTTCTAATGCGACGGGGATATATGTTGCCCTGTTGCGATGTTGTGCCTGAGAGCATCGCTGCCAGGGGGTCACGCCAAGTGGGTGTCGCAGCCAGGGGCGTTGCACCTTAGGTGTCACGCATGAGTGTTGTACCTTGGGCATCATGCATGACATTATTATTTACACGCGCCCAAGGGGCGTTGTAAGCCCCCACATTCTTATTTGTTTTTAGCCCCGTAATTGTTTTTGAAATGCTAATATATGTAACGAGGTATACATGAACTATGTAGAGGACAAGAGTAGAAATAAAAATGTTAGTGGAGGTAATAGGGTATGTTATAGAAAGTTAAAAGTATTTCGGAGTGAAATCGCATTTTAAAGATAATTTGGGTAAGATGGATTTTTGA